TTATTGGTTTTCGCCCCATAAATACAATCAATCCTATGTGGACAGGGGGGCCTGTTGCCAAAAGCCGCTGATTACTTTTTTCCCCAGAAATACCATCAACCTAATGTGCGCAGGAGCATCTGTTGCCAATCGCTGCTCATTGGTTTTTGCCCCATAAATTCCCTCAATGCAATGTGCATCGGGGTACCTGTTGCCAATTGCTGCTCATTGGTTTTTGTTTCATAAATGCCATCAGCCAATGTGAATTCCCTAAAGGATTACCAATTGGTGCACATAGGTTTTTGTTTCAAAAATGCATATTGCTCAGTGTGTTTGGACCTACAGTTGCACATTGGTTCAATGTGAATTTTGGCCTAATTTCACTTCGCCCTTTTCCAGCAGGGTGGGCAACCTGGGGATCCCAAGGTTGCCCCTCCGACCATCATGAGTGCTCATCTTGACCACTAGGGGGCCAAGGGCAACTGGCCACGCGAGCGGTGCTCCGCCGCTGATAAATGGCCCTCGCAGCGTATGCGCGGGGGCGGTTGGGATCGCGACGCAGGCGATGGCGGTCATTAAATATTTACATGTTGTTGAACCGTTCTGCTGTGTCATTTCCCGAGACGGGTAGCAGCAAGGGAAATCCTATACACTTTACACATGACCTCTTTTCTAACTTAGATAAAAAAACACCAAACTGACGCCATATTCATCGATTTCCCAGAAGCATGATATAGGGTACCTAATCAACGCCTCATTAAAAACCTATCTTCCTTAAACTTTCTCCAAACATAATAGAGTGAATCAGAGAGTTCCTCACAAATCGCACGCATTATACAGTCTTCAATACCAAAATGTCATTGCAGGCCCTGTCTCCTCAGGCGTCCCACAGGGAATTATTCATAACACACATCAATGACTTTAAAAAGCTTCTATCATTCCCCGTGCGTCCCTTCGCAGACGAGTGCATCATTTACAGAGCCATCAAAACACCAGATGGCCTTAGAACACTTTAAATTTACCTCAATATAATTGAACAGTTTTGTAAGAATCAGCAGATGAGCCTAAACAGGGACAAGTTGAAGTTACTAATATTCACTCGTCAAACCACCTCGTCTAATTTTTCTTATCAACTAGGTATCAATAACATTGGTCACTGCAGATCATATAAGTACGTAGGACTTCACCTCAACAGCGACCTCTCATGGAACAACCATGTTAACGAGGTTGTCCTGAAAGCTAACCGCACACTTGGATTCTTCGAACGTAGCTTGAAACTCTGTTCACCCAAAATCAAAAGGCTAGCCTAAACAATTCTGGTTCGGTCCCAAATAAAATACGCATCATCGACTTGGTCACCATTTCAAAATTATCTCTCTAACTGAAGAACCCTTTAAAACGGGGCGCTAACGTATACGTTCGTTCCGACTACTCTTCCTACACCAGTATCACTTCACTTCGTAATCGGGCTGATCTCCTAAAACTTTCTTGTCGAAGGCTCGGCCGACTCGCACTTCTTAAAATGGATTATGGCAATCCGCAGATGAAAATGGACCTTCTAAGCGACCCAGATCGAATCCCCGCTAGGGTTGACAATGTGTGCAATTTCAAATTCATCCACACTTCATCTATGTTCTTCGCAAAAATCCATGCCCCCTCTTGTTATTGGCGAGTGGAAATAATTACCCAATGACGTTGTTCTAGAAATTAACACTTCTAAGTTTTGTGAACTTCTCAATGTTTTTTTGGAGCAAATGAAAGATTTGTTAACTTGTTAGCACCATTTAACATTTGTATCATGTTTCTCTTTTTTTCCCTTTTTCTTATTGTTCTTTGTGATTTTTATTTTTGTGTTTAATCAAGTGTCTTCTTACCATCCCTTCCGTTTTGCGCAGACTTGTGTCCTCAAGGTAGATAAATGAAATGAAATATTAAAAGCAATTTTGTTTTGACGGGGTTTAATATTCCCGCTATTTCCCTCCGTGGATGAAAAGGAAAGTGTAAAAGAGAACACTCATTCCCTCACGTAAATAGGTAAGGAAATTTCTTTATAATTAAGTTTTAAAATTTGTAATTATTCCTTTGCAAATTTGCCGAGAGATGTCAGGGATTACGAGTGATTTCGTTACATGTAACGGATTGCGCACCAGGCTGCAGTCCTCGCAGTGCATCCCTCTGTTGACAAAAGGAGAGCGTTGGTGCCCAAACAGCATGTCGGGTGTCGGCACCCGCTGCGCGTGGGGTCTTCTGAGAATTCCGTCCGGTGGACGTGATGGTAGAAAGGAACGCAGCCGCCGCTGCGGTTGTCGGCCGCAACACCACACAACTTCTCTACGGGTTTCTGAAAAGCGAGCTGACTCTTAATCTTTCCACATTTCATGACTGGTAAAATTGCAAAAATTGGTATTTCCTTGAGCCATTCATGTATCGGCATCATTGAAGGTGAGACAATGCACCAGGTACATGATATCATGTGTCACGTATAGGTCTAATCATTATATCTGCCAAGGTTAGGAATGTACCCTCTTGTCTAAACTTGAGAAACGGATACTTGTGTCGGCACCAGCCACCAATAAAACGGTATCTCTGATGGTTGTTTATGGGGAAACATCAGGCCGATGCCGTATCATTCCAAAGTCAGCTCTCGGGAGAGCAGCTATGTCAGTAGAGCAAAGAAGGATACTCTTATCAAATGGTGATAGAGATATAGTGCGAGAAGCGATGCGGCAACGCCAGTCCCATCTTATTCGGCAGACGTACGTCGTTGGGCCGTTGACAGAAGGGGGAATATTCGGTATGTACAACTTTTCACCGCCCGCGATGCCCAAGTCTCAAGCCTTAAAAAGCACAGCTCGCGGTGTATATGCGCACAAACGAGGAGTTGGGATTGACAAAGCGGCTGCGCGCTAGTGCGTGCATACAGACAGTGTTATTGTCTCCGCGCGTGGTCGTTGTGTGCCTCAATCGCGTACAAGTGTTTCTTTCCCGCACTCATGAACAGCGTTTTTATCGCATTATTTTGTTTATTTCCATATATCGCGACGAAATGAATGTTATGCCGACTTACTAAGGAACATTATATTGACTTTTTAGCAAGTCGGTCTAGGTCATGATTCTAAATACAACTCATCGTTATCCGTGTGTGCTAGATGCATACACAGATTTTCGATGCACCATTATGCAGGTCTTGTGGGCGTTTTATCGCAGCACTGCTATCTCTGTATATTCACCTTAGGTTTCCGTAGAGGAGGTGACGAGTCTTCCACGTACAGCTACGCCAGCTACAGCTACAATGTCCGTGCTCTCTCACGTGACTAATTTCAGCAAATATGCCATCAGACTATGCGGAGAGCAAGTAATCCGTTTCTTGCACACGAATTGTGGTGACGTCAGAACGACGCCGAGTTCTGATTGGCTTCGATTGAAAGGATAGTGGGTAGACCTCAATAGATGCCTGCAGATCCACCCACTATTTTTTTCCAATGAGCCAATAAGAGCTCGGCGTTCTGACATCATAGTAATCCCTGTGCAAGAAGCAGACGAACTTTTGCTCCGCACATTCTGTTTCACATTAAGTCCGACCGCGGTCAACTCTATGATTCGATAGAGCCAATTAGAAGGCGCCAAAGGTATATCGTCCCAGCACTGGTCGTCGTCGTGCTCATGTCATCAACGTCGAAACCAATCACGTGCAGGTGAAATGCGCCTTGCTGCACTTTCTTCTGTGCTAGATTGGTCGAGCCGGCGGTAGAAAAAGACGATAAGTGCCGCGAGGATGCACTGTTGCTGCTGTCTGATTGGCTCTCTCAGATCCCGGCGTTGTCTGCCGTTGGTCTTGGCGTGGAAAAGAGTATGCGCCGAGGAACTAAGGGAAAGGAGGAGGCGAGAGCTCGCGGGGACTTCAGAAAGCCGAGCTCTTTTCCGAACGATTAGTGGGTCGACCTAAATCTAGCGGCCTTCGTCTATCCACCGCACTCGTTGGACGCGTTATACGCGGAACGCCGGCGTCCGGCTTTTTCATTCGAACCCGTTCGACGAGCGCAGTGAAGACAAATGTGGACCCACTAATCGTTCCGACAGAGCTACGCTTTGTGAAGTGCCCGGGTACTCTCGCCTCCTCCTTTACCTTGGTTTATTTACGTATAGCGCTCGCCTTACGCGAAAAAACACGCTCGTGCTTTATGGGAATGTCTATCATTACATAGCGCGACACTGTTTGCGCAAACAAGTGATCACCTGTTGTTGTTTTATTCTTTTTTATTTGAATCGAAAGGCTGCCATTAAAACTACTACACTCGTTTTCACTTCAATAAAAAAAGAAAGTTTTGCGCATTGTTCATACGCCGCGCGAAGTAGTGCTTGCAAGATTTAGTTGTCGGAGGAATAAGCGATGCTTTTGGCTTTTGAAACGTGTCCGTCTTGATAAAATAACAATTATCTCACCTAAAACGTTCCTGCATATATCTTGATTATCTTCATAAGGGGGTATATTAGTAGGGCTCCGCGAAGAGTCGGACTTTTTTTACTACGATCCTGGAGGTGAAAACGAGTGTGGTGTCGTAGGATGTGAGTAATGGGGTCACGAACATAAGCGGTGGAATATGGCACCCACCATTACTCTTTCGAGGTGAAATGCCAAGAAGCGTGAATGTCGTTTTCGCTAACAATCTCGTGCAATGTATGCAGCTGTCTCATATTTTATCTGCTGGTAACTTGACAGAAATAAAGTTGTTCGTTAATCAATTTGAAAATGCAGATCATATTACCTCATCTCAATCACATTTCTGAACGAGGGAATCACGAAATATTGGCTGATACTTAGCCTCTTTAGAAATCGGGGAGATTTTGTTCCACAGGTTTGCTTCACGCCATCGAGGACCTACTTGAGGAGAATTTTGGACCCCGTATCTTTGAAGATGAAGTCCTACTGCATGTCCGGCTTTTCTGACGCTCCGGACTGGAGGCCCATCCTCTTCCAGGAGCCCGCCGTGGCACACACCGCGTGAGCCTTATGCGGGCTGATGCTCCTGAAATCTGTCAGGCTGTCCTGTGGCCACACGCTTTGCACCGACTGCCACGAGGAGTGCGCTCGGCAAGGCAGCACCTGCCCTCTGGACGACGAGCCCTTCGACGACCAGAGCTTTGTTCGACTCGAGATTTCGGCTGAATACATTGGAAAGCTCAAGGTGAGTGTAGAAAAATATTGTCCAGGTAGCACGTCAGAGAACGGCTTAATTTGACATAAGCTTGGCAATACCTGGGTCTAATTTAGACCTAATTCCGTTTCTCTCCAAGACGATTTATTGTCAGAGTATGTTTTTTTGTGTTTTGGTAGCCTATCCTTGGCTTGCCACATAACTACCAAGGTTCCAGACTTGAACAAAGGATGGTACGTGTGAACCGAACAGCCAGAAGTGAGGCCTTACTCTAGCATCTCCTTTGCGATAAGGATCAAACTGCTCGACGACATACTACCAGTGAAGCCTAAGTGTCGCACTTGTTGGTAGATAAGGGCAAAGATACCTAGAGCCTGGCCAAGGAAGTTCAAGTTTTGTTCTACCTTGGCTTCTTGAGCCGTTTTAAGGTCCTGAATTCCCGGACAAAATTAAACTATTGACGCAAAAGGACAGTACTACCTGGGTGCTTGCATTCAAGTTTCTACAGCAGGCAATGACCTACATTGATTGATCGCGCGAAGCAACTTGGCTAATGCGCTTAGACTGTACACCTGGTGTCTGAGAAGCTTATAATACAGTAGTTCTGCACCAGGTTCACTCAACGGTCAGTGACACAATGTTGCACGAGCGCCAAGTACCCGAGCGAGTTTTGCTTACATTATTTTTTTTTTGCAGAATTACCATAATATTCTAATCTTTAATTTAATATCCCGGTGTCCGTTCCCGACGTTTAAATTAGCCAGAAAAGTCCGATGGATCTGATCAGAGTTTTTTAGTTTATATCCGGCCCCAGATGTCTCCCCACCTGTGAATCTTAAGCGCATGTATGCTTCGTTATTATACTCTTCAGATAGACGATCAAGAGACAGCAAGTGCTGGCATTTCGCATAAAATGTATGATTACTTGAGGATACCCCTGCATTTTTATGAGCAAATACATCTACATTGAAAATTTATGAATACTTGAAAATTTAAATCATCTGAGATTATTCCGGAAGCAGCGCCGGTACTTCGAGGAAGCACGAAAATTGCCTCTATTGTTACATGTTTTAAAAAGGTGGGCTTTTACGCAAGTTTCTTGTCGCAAGTTAACCCAAAATAGTATTTGAATGCTGCGCATATTCTGGGCCTAGTTATCATTTCTCAACGAGGATTCTAGCGTTAGAAGAGCGCAATTGTTATGACCGTCCTTTTAATTTGGTTTAATGAATGTCCAGGCATGCCGTCAGCCTTTGTTCTTCAGAAACTTGCACATGCCGCAAATAGTACAATAAGAGATTCATAGGGGATTTTACCGAACGTCCCCATCTCGTTGTACTTATATTTTTATTAATTTGAATAACAGTATTCAGCTTTGGTATTATCCGTTTAATCTCGTATTGTCACCAATAAAAAATAAAAAAAGGAGAATACTTTGAAACTGAAATTAAGAATGCAATGAGGCGACCTTGTGCCTACAAATGAAAACAACAGATATCAAGCATCCCGCGTCGGAGACGGAAGGGAAACTGTCCTGGGGCCCTACACCTTGCCACTTCTTCCATACGCACATGAGGTACGTTCTGGAACATTTTGAACCAGAACGCAGAATGACACCCGATAATGACCTGAAACTTTCCAAAATAGCGAAAATTAAAAAAGGAGTGGGCCGCGAAGAGTTCCCTCCCCGTTCCTCCCCGTGGAAGCCGCATCCGTTGCCAACACCGCCACGTTCGCAGCAAAATCCCCATGAAACAATTTTACTTTAGGTGACCTCATGAAACATGTCTGTGCTTCGAAATATTAAATTGGCACGCCGTGCGCGACAATAAAATAATTGGTTGCGGTTTTAATTGCAAAGGCGCTAACAGTAGATGTTTTTTTTTTTTAACATTGGCGGATTGGACGTCGCCTTTTGTACTGTAAGCCCAGAAATCAGTCATGAGCATGTAATGATATGCGCGCTTTGTTTTATGCTCCTTTTTTGTCTCCAAGGTGGCCTGCTGGAACAAACCCAGTGGCTGCAGTTTCGTGGGTCCCACTGCCAGTCTCCTGGAGCACTACAAGGATTGCGCCTTCCACACCGTGACTTGTCCTGCTTGCCAATCCACTCTGCTGCGGAGGGACATAGTGGGACGCGTTAAAGATGGCTGCCACGTCTGCCCAAATGAATCTGATCACAGCGATTCTACTCCGCATCTTACTCATGTCGCCAAGATGAGCAACGATCTGAAAGGAACATTGTGCAGGCTTTCGGATGGTCTATCAAGTCTGCAAACTAGCTTCAACCAGTGCCGCGAGGACGTCAGGGAAGCAGAAAGAAGGAGCAAAGAACATTTTGAAGCTCAGTCGACGCAGTTTAGGGAGGATGTGATCATAGCGTTTAGCACGAGTTTGCCTGTATTAGAGAAACGCCTGGCCATGGAGTTGCGTGAACAAAGCCAGAAGCTTCTCAGTGCCACAAACAGTGCTTGTCGTAAGGTGCTGAGTTTTTGCGGAGCACGGGAGTTTCACTTGTACTTTGAGAAATGGACATCCCTGAAGAAAAAGGCAATGCATGAGGGCACAGCGAGAGCTGAAAGCCCACCGGAGTACGTGTGTGGATACAACGTGTCCATTGTGGTCGCTCTCACTTACGGAAAGGAGCATAGTAAATTCGAATCTGGACTCGAATTTCATCCTGGTTCCAACGAATCAAAGACTGAGTGGCCATTCCGCAAAATTTTTAAGGTCACTCTCATTCACAGCATGGATGAAGGAAAAAACGTGCTTAAAAGTTTAGATGTGAGTGAATATCCTTATAGTCTAATGTTCCAGATGCCAACGAGAAAACCTAATGAGGCGTTTCTATGCCCCTTCGTGTATTCCCCCAACTACCTCGAAAAGAACGGCTTTGTGAAGAACGACACATTGCACCTTTTCGCTCAAATTGACTAAGAATTTGGTTTAAGCGCGTTTAAGCGGAAATAAATGGTAAAACACTGAAAGAACGTAACTCCGCTCCGTAGATGCTTCGTCTCAATACTGATTGCACCCCGCAGGGGGCACCTGTGAAAGCAGGTGTTTGGAGAGTGGCGTCTCCACGGACCCCGAGCCATGTGGGTTCGCCCGCCCACGTCTGGCTGTGCGTGGCTTTCCCGTGTCCGGGAAAAAGGGCATCCTGGTGGTTGAGTCGAACCCGGGGTAGGTTTGGACCCTTCGGGGCCCCCCGGGTGAGGTAATACACCACTTCGGCCCCCGCTTCCCGTAGACGGGTGTCCTGGCTTGGCCCGACTAGGATGATTCAGTCAGTCGCCACTTCTACTATCCCCTCCCTTCTTTTACCTTTGTCTTCTCCTTCTTTTCACTCTTCTCATTTCTCTTCTTTCCTTTTTCAACTCCTTTGGCGGCAAGGGCTAACCTTGGGTGGCGACAGACCCCTTGTCCAAAACCACACTTGGTTATAGTACCTGGGCAGTGCTAATAGTCTAACGGTTCCAGCAAAGCCCTTTTTGTTATGGTCCGTTAACTATTCCCTCGTTGGGCTCCGTGGTGGGCGGCACACCACAGGTTCTGAACACTCTTTGCCCTCCTATGGCGCCCCCTTCTTCCAAACCTCGTTCAGGGCAAGCCTTTAAAAGGCGTTGTCTTGAACCCAAGACCATCGACAAAGATTCTGAAGGAGAAACATTTACGAAGTTTTTTGTTGTTCATTCACTTGATGTACAAAAACCTGTTGCAAAGCTGTCACCTTTTGTTGTTGCGAAGGTACTAGAAAATCTTGTCGGATTTTCCTACAAAGCTAAAAAGCAGCACTCCGGAGACCTCCTAGTGGAGGTAGCCAACAAAAAACAGAGTGAAGCGATCCTTAAACTGACTAGTTTTCTTGATGTTAAAGTGTCGGTTAGCCCTCACCGCACGCTCAACACCATCCGTGGGGTCCTCTCCGAGGACGACTTCTTACACACTAGTGAGGAAGAACTTCTCGAGGGACTCCAAGGTGTTGGCGTTGTTGCCGTTAAGCGCATCATATTCCGTAAAAATGGTGAGGAAATTCCTTCGAAACACGTAATCCTTACTTTTGAAAGAAACGCACTGCCAGAAACCATCAAGGCAGGATACCTTAACTGCCGCATCCGCCCATATGTCCCCAACCCCCAGCGGTGCTTCCGTTGCCAGCGTTATGGCCACGGATCACGCAGCTGTCGAGGGAAGGAGACGTGTGCAAAGTGCAGCAGCCACGACCATCTAACCGACAACTTTGAATCGGCAGCTTTCTGTGCCAACTGCAAGGGTCCTCACCCTGCGTAGTCTCGTTCTTGCCCCTCCTGGCGACAGGAAAAGGAAATCCTCACCTTAAGAGCAAAAGGAAACTTATCTTATCCGGAAGCAAAGCAAAGGTTCTCCTTTCTTTCGAAAGGCACATACTCCGACGCGGTGCGCAGGGGCCCTCCGCCGCGAACGGAATCGAAGGCCACCCAGGTCTCGCCTGAAGCCCTGGCAGTGGCCTTTCGGGCCCCCACCCCCCCGCAGGGGCAGCAGCTTCCCCCACCTTCTGGAGGGAGCACATCAGCAGCCCCCAAGTCTCAGGACAGGCAGGCAATGCCAATGCCCGTCCTGACTGCGACGCCTTCCTCCGGTGGAAAGGAGCGACACTCTCGTTCCAACTCACTGGAGAGGGCCTCCTCCAAAGAGCGGCACAACTCTCGTGCTGCTCTCCCTGTACTCAAGGGGCCGGAGCAGGCAGAGTTGAAAGATACTCTGCCCAGCACTTCCGCTGCCTCTTCGGCTGGTCGCGGCCGGGGCCTGGCTCCCCGTGATCCAAGCCGGAAGAAAACGCTGGCCAACACCAGCGACACGACTCAAGAGGCAGACTTGTCCATGGAGTTGGACGACTCGGCTGCTCCTGCTTCTGACCCGGATAGCATGGAGTGGCAGACGCAGACCCGTGCAGGGAAGAACAAAAAACCGGTTACTGCGTTGAAGTAATCCAAGTGGTCTCTCTCCCGAGTTTTAATCTTTTTACTACCGAGTTTTATTGATTTACACTTTCCTATATCAACAAATTTTATAAATGTCAAAAGTGAATATTATGCAATGGAATTGTCGCGGCCTTTTAAGAAATATTGATGATATAAATCATTTCATGGATGAGCTTCGGCCGATAGCTCTTGCTCTCCAGGAAACTCATCTTCATGATCGCTCTCCTCATATTTTAAGACGTCACCGGGTCTTTAGAAAAGACCGTCTTAGTGATACTCCCTCTGGTGGCGTGGCAGTGGTTGTACAAGGTGGGGTCGCCTGCTCTGAGGTCCCGCTCTGCACACCACTTGAAGCCGTGGCAGTGCGCCTTCTTTTAGACCGCCTCATAACTGTAATATCACTTTATTTACCACCTAACACTCCATTACATCTTAGTGAATTGCAGGGTCTTGTGGGTCAGCTCCCACAACCCTTTATGATTCTAGGCGATTTTAATGCCCATCATCCCCTATGGGGTAGTATTCGTCAGGACTCTCGTGGAGGTGTAGTTGAACGTCTTTTATTGGCATCTGGACTATGCCTTCTTAATGGGAGAGAGCCAACATTTTTTGTGCGGCTCACACCACATCTACATACATAGATCTGTCGATTTCATCCCCCTCATTGTTTCCTTGCTTTACATGGAATGTTCTCAACAACCCTTTTGGCAGTGATCACTTTCCGATTGTTTTAGAGAGTGTTGTTCAGTTGCCCTCACTTTTAAAACGTATCCCTAGGTGGAAGTTAGATAAAGCTGACTGGTCACTTTTTGGGTTACATTCCACCTTGGACCCTTCTCTGCTTTCTTCTATGTCACCTGAAGATGCTACACTGTATATTACTGAGCAGATACTAAATGCTGCTGAGGTGTCTATTCCACGAACCTCTGGTAATGTGCCAAAAAAATGCAAACCATGGTGGAACAAGGAGTGTGCCACAACCTTAGCGAATCAAAACAGGGCTTGGGGCAAACTTCGCAGATACCCCACATCAGGTAATCTCGCAGAGTTCAGGCAGCAGAAAGCTAAAGCCCGTTGGACCAGGAAGCAGTCAAAATGGAAATCCTGGATGAAGTATGTCTCTTCCAAGGAGGTTTGGGATAGATACAGGAAAATAAATGGAGACTATAGGTGCTTTGCAATTCCTACTTTTGATGCCCCTTCTTCATCTTTAGTTGACATCGCCAACATCCTTGTTGAACATTTTTATAACACATCCAGCTCGGCAAACTACAGTGATTCGTTCAGTAGATTTAAATCTCGTGCAGAGCGGCAAAATATCTCCATGTCTGGAGGAGACTCTGAGCCTTATAACCAGCCTTTTACGCAGTATGAGCTCTAAATGGCACTTGACATAACGAGGGTTTCTGCTCCAGGGCCCGACGCAGTTCATTATGAAATGCTTCGTCGCCTTTCTCCTGAGTCCCTGAAAAGTCTTCTCTTGTTTTTCAATTTATTGTGGGAAAAAGCCTGCTTTCCCCATGCCTGGAAGCATGCTCATGTCATCCCGCTCCTAAAGCCGCAGAGAGACCCTTCACTACCATCAAGTTACCGTCCCATTGCTCTGACGAGCTGTGTTGGGAAAACATTTGAAAGGCTTATAAATAGGCGGTTAGTATACATATTAGAAAGGCAAAAGGTCCTTGACAAAAATCAGTGCGGGTTTCGCCGAGGTCGATCTACTCTCGATAATTTGGTTCGCCTGGAAACCATTATACGCGAGGCATTTGTGAACAAGCAGCACTGTGTTGCAGTGTTTTTTGACTTAGACAAGGCATATGATACCACTTGGAGATATGGTATCCTGAAAGACTTGTATGATTGCAATATCCGTGGTAGAATGTTGCAATGCATTAACAACTTTCTAACAAACAGAACCTTTCAAGTCCGGCTTGGGAGCACCCTCTCTAAACCTTTTGTTCAAGAAAACGGAGTCCCACAGGGAGGCATTTTGAGCGTCACTTTGTTTGTACTGAAAATGAATTCTCTCACACGAATGCTACCTCGGTCTATTTCCTACTCTCTTTATGCTGACGATGTACAGATCTCCTCATCTTCTTGCAATCTTTCTAGTTGTGAGTGGCAGTTACAACTGGCTATAAACAAACTTTGTAAGTGGGCAGACGAAAATGGTTTCAAGTTCTCTGTTGCAAAGACAGTCTGTGTGCCTTTTTCCCTACGTCGTGGGCTCTCCTTAGACCCAGTTTTGAAACTAAACGGTACTCTAGTTCCTGTTAGGAAGGAGCACAAGTTTCTTGGTGTCATATTTGACAAAAAACTTACCTTCATTCCCCACCTGAAATTTCTGAAAGAAATTTGCCTTCGTTCCACAAACCTTCTGAAAGTTTTGGCTCATAAATCATGGGGGTCGGACCGAAAATGTCTGTTGCATTTGTACACCGCGCTTGTGCGATCTCGTCTTCATTATGGCGCCGTGGTGTACGGATCGGCTCGCCCATCTGCCCTCAAGATGTTGGATCCTGTACATCATCTTGGCTTGCGTTTGGCAACAGGTGCTTTTCGGACATCGCCTGTACTTAGTTTGTATGCGGAATCAAATGAGATGTCGCTGTGCAAAAGACGTCAATACCTCAGCCTAACCTACGCGTCTAGGATCCTAGCAAACCCTGATCACCCAACGTATCATTCCATACAAAGGTCTCAATTCTACCGTCTCTTTGAAAATAAGCCAAGCATCGTCAGACCGTTAAGTTTTCGTGTAGAGCAATTTTGTTCCTCACTTCAACTTCGTCTGGACGAACTTAACCTAATTCAAAACACAGTCTGCGTGGCGCCCTGGAATGTGGTACGTGTTTTTTGTGACTGGACTCTCACTAAGTTTAATAAGAATAGCATATCAGCTCTTGTGATTCAGCAGGAATTCCTTGACCTGGAAGAGAAATATAAAGATTATGCTCACTTTTACACAGACGGTGC